GCCGCTCTTCTGTTTTCGAAACGATTTCTCGTCTCTTTCTTCTTCTTCTTTTTATCACTTTCCTCGATTATAACGAGATGAAGAAATCCGCAGCAGCAGTCGATCCATTTTGGAAAGATTTAGCCGAAGATGGCTTTGTTTCCCGGCATTTGTCGAACGGAAGGAAGGTTGGAAGGAAGGTTGAAAATAAAAGTGGCGATTCGAGCGGGTGGGTAACAAGGTCGACGGGACGGGCCCTTAACGAGATCACACGTGCACACGGGGCGAGGCTTGGAAATTGGATTTTCGTCCAATCACGCCGTGTACCGTGTCTGGAGACTCGTTTTTCCTCCGGTCATCCTGCGAACTTCATATCCGAGCCAGCTTATCGCTTAAATTTTTCTCCCGCGCGTGAAAATCCATGACTCTCAACTCTTAATCTTAATCCTCTGCTTACGTATATAATCTGTCCATGATCTGCTCGTATCACGTTATATAATTTTTATAACTTTTGTACTTGGTTTATTCGTTACTTTGAATCGTTCGATAACGATATTCAATTTGTTGCGCCATTTTGATCAGTGAAAAATTAGATTTTTCCCTCGTGTTATTCTCGATAACTGGGAAAAATCAGCTCGTGAGATAACTTTTCTCGCGTAACGAGAACGAAACGTCGATTTAAAGAGAGAAATCCACGTTTCTCTCTCCGCGTTTCCTGATCGCCATTGCTTTCCTGGAGACATCGGTAAGTCAGATGCACAATGGTGCGAACTGAAAATTACGCGGATAGCTTCTGGTGGATCCGTTTCCACTTTCGAGCACAATGCAACGAGTGAAAATGCATGCGGTGTCAATGACTCGCGTTCCTCCTGTCAGTTCCTCGTTCGTTGCACCCTGCATCGAACACACTGTTTGCTTTTCTAACACGTCTCTTTGTCTTCCTAGAACGGTTATCTCGTTCCACCCGCTTCCTTCCTCCCCGATTAAATCCTTATCGATTCGAACCTCCATCACTCCTCCCCCCCCTCCTTCATCGACGTAATTTTCGAATCCTCGAAGATCCATAAAATCGTTAACATCGTCGCTCGATATCCCGACAATCGAATCGCACCATTGTTGGATACGTAGACGTAGGCGTAGCCTTGTTCAAATTTCCGCCATTTCGTTTTCCATCCACGTAATTTTCAATCCCCGCTCGAAGTCCTCAAACTTCTTACCGATATCTCCGATATTTAAAATTTCGCGAAACGAGGCATGTGTGGGCGGTTTTCACTTATCCTTATCGATCCCAATTCCCTCTTCATCGATACCGCTATTCCATTTCTCGGGAAATGACTTTAAAATTATCCTTCCTTTTCTTCTATCCTTCCCCCGCAAAAAGACAAGATCAGACCTTCCGTTTCGTACGACCACTCTTCTTCAACTCTGGTCAATTTACCATTTCGATCCGTGGTCAGGATTCGAGCCGCCGTAATTCCCGGACGAATTATCCTCCTCGTCGATTAACCAGACCGTAAAATCGTCAACTTTGTTACGATTATCCAATGCGTTCTCACAGTCGATCGAGAGTATCTCGAGACGAACTGGTCTCCGGGAGGAAGAAGCGAGGAGCGTGTGTGTGTGTGTGTGCGCGCGCGCGCGTGTTTAAAATAAAGCCGCGTGTCAACCGTAAAACCGCACATGGGACATCGAGTGACACGCATCGCGGTGGATTAAGTCGCGTTTCGTTTCACGCTCGCGAGCAACCGCGTCTCTCTTCCTCCGCCCTTTTTTCCCTCCTCGTTTTGCGTCGCAAGTGGAACCGCGATGCAGCACAGGCCGCGTGCAGTGGCACTCGTTGCATCGCTTCGGCCAGACCTTCGAACCGTGTCCGATTGCGCGTGTCATCGGTCGGGATCGGCCCACGCCCGGCCGCGGGAATGATGGAGTCGTTGAAAACCTGGGAATCCAGAACCTTGGAGAGGCTCTCCTTTCGCAAATTCAAAAGGAAAATTTCCAGGTGGTACGTAATCTTCGCAATCACACCGCGAGTTTAATTTTCGTCCAGGATCCATTGGATAATTTGGTGGCAGGTAGCTCGAAGGGGATACAGATGTACAACGATCTTAATCGTGCTGTTAATTCTAGAGTCTAAGAATATGAGAGGATTAGAAAGTTTTCCCTTAGAAAGTTTTTTCTCGTTTTTGAATGCAATTACATTAGCGACTCGGGAAGATACGAGGTCTCGAAATATCGTGTGTCGCTCCCCTTTCGCGATAGAAGGCAAGGCCTCGTGGCGCGAGATAATCCAGTCGCTGCACGAACTACGGAAAGAAGAATCACCGTTGCCCCGAGCGGCTGAAAACAATCAATTATCGGCTCCTCGTTTGGGTCAAGAACCGCTATTTAATTTCATTTCGTATCGCGCAGACAAACAATAACAATCTCCTTGCCAACTTGCCTTCGGTCCGCGAGCCGTGTCCGAAATTAGCTCCTCGATTCCTTTCCTCGAAACCTAGAGGGAGAGTAACTCTTCGAAAAGCAGAATGGAACCGGCTAATTGGACGGATTCGGTCCTCGAGTCGACCGCTCGAAGAAACTAGGATGAGAGTAGCTTCGTGGCGATTTAAAATCAGAGCTAGACGGAATTGCCGGCTTTCACTCGGGACGATTTTACGATCGTCCTATAGCTAAGCGGCGCGTAACAGGTTCTCGCCGATAACCCAAATCCCCTTTTCGCGAAATTCAGCGTCTTAAAGCGCGTCCGACCTCGGAGGATCTCGTGCGTCTCTCCCGCAAGCAAGCGAGCTTCTTCGCGCTTCTGTGCGGTCTTGAGCAACCCGAGGTGGCGGCCACCTCGAGGAAAATCGGTTGAATGGAATTGAAGAGGCAGGTTACTGAATGGCGCTCGAACCGATGCTCCCGACTCCTCGTCAATTACATAATGCTTACGCATTGATCGCGTCCCGTTAATCACGACCGGATCTCCGCGTCGACGGTTTCTCCCTCCTTTTTTTTTTTTTTCTTTTTTTTGTTTCGTCATCCTTTTGATTGCAATTTCACTCGTCTCTTCGCCTTCAGCATCCAT